GTTGAAGTGTACCTCTGGTGCAAATTACTGACCTCTGTCATCATTTTAAGTGGGGGAACTTGCACAATCGGTGGCTGACTTTTTTGCCCCACTGTATGTTGCCTCGCCTCACAGGCTTATACCTTCCCTTCAAGGAGAGACATTTACGACTGTTTTTCACTGAGCTGTTGCCTCCCTTCTTCCACAGATGAGCAGGAGTGCCCCACTCTATCTATCTAACCCCCACACGCCTGAATGTCTCTGACTTACTGCAGCGGCCGCTGTGTGTTTCTGTGTAGAACACGTGATAGAGCATAAGACATGTTTGTGGAGCTAACCTAAGTGACAAAGTGATACAACTGTTACTAAAGTGATATGGTTAAAATATGTGATCAATACATAGAATAAAGAAATTTCCACCACATGACACAGAGAAACCTGTGTTTGCTTCCCCCAAACTGTCAGCAACAGAACAAACATGTTCAACTGTTGAAAAAGAAGCTCTTGCTGGTGTGTGTGCTGCAGAGCAAAGGAAAACATATTTGTAAGGCTGATGTTTCACTCTGCAGACAGACCACCAAGCTCTGACAATGCTGCTGAGCACCAAAGGGATTCATAGGGCGAGAATGAGTATCACCCGCTGGTCTGCTCTTATTTACCGCCCAGATTCTCTGAGTCATACAGCTGACTGTCTATCTCGTCTGCTTCTGCCTGTTTCTTCCCATCACACTTCGGATGCAGATCTTGAAATGGTAGCTCAAATTTCTGCTGCCACGTCGTCACCTCCAGTTGCTGATTTTCACTCTGCCTGTTCGACTTGACCTTAACTGTTTGCTTTGCGCTCACAAATACAAAGTGTTTTGTCTGCATCGCTTGCATCTTACTACAAAACCCATAATGAACTCTCAACTCTAAGTAATTATGTTCACAGATGCTCAAGACTCACTGCACCATGTTCAGTGAGACCTAAACTGATCGCACTAGAAAGTGAAAGTCACCAAAGGATTGTGAACACAAAGCAAAGATTAAGAGACTTCTACTGGTGGCATTGACTGACTACTACTCCAAATGGCCTCAGCTTATTCAACTCCTCTCGTCTGTCTTTAGTTGTCATGGCAACCCAGAAAACATTGTAACAGACAATGGTACACAGTTTACCTCTGAATTGTTCACCTCATTCCTCCATAATACAGAAATCTCTCACAGCAGAACATCTGTCTACTACACAGCTGCAAATGGAGCAATTGAACAGTTTCTTCGTGACCTCTGCACCTGCATCAGGACAGCAATCCAGCCGTCACAGCCATGGAAGGAGACTGTGATGAACTGGCTTCAAGTTTACTGTATAACACTGCATGCGACCACTTCCCTCTCCCTATGAACACCTTCATGGCAGAAAGATGGGTAATAAACTGGACATACTCCCTTTGCCTTCTACTGTAAGAAATATCAGCTGAAGAGGCAACATTACACTGATGCTAAGCGTCATGAATGGAAGCCTTCTTTTCTACCAGTAGAGTGAGGATGAGGAAACCACATCATTCTGTTAAAGGACCCCAGATTTACTCCTCCTGACCTGGTAGTTAACTTAAGTTTTTGAGTTGAATAAATGAAGCAAGTATGTGTGACAACAACCCACACTGTCTCTGTACATTTTCGATAAACAACACCCTGCAATAAAAGACAGTCTTCACCCTGATGAGAAAACACTGAATCTCAGAGTGACTGATGTCTGTAAAACTCTGAGGAGAGAGAATGTATGAAAGGCAGCAGGACAACATTCAAGGACGAGCACTCAGAGAGTGTGCTGAGCAGCTAGCACACGTCCTTACAGACATCTTTAACACCTCGCTGGAGCAGACTGTTGTTCCATCATGTTTCAAATCTTTCACCATCACATGTTTTGATGACACCTGCCCTTTGCATTCACTTAATTCCCTTAATAATGAAGTCCTTGTAGAGTCCCTTCCACATCAGTCTTCATACTGGCCAAACCGCTCCACAGAGCGATGTCCTCTGCTCGTTACCTGAGCTTTACAAGGACAGTTACGTATGAATGCTGTTTGTTGGTTGATCATCCCCCAGGAGGTGGTGAGAAAACAGACACCTTCCCCAGGTATCAGCACCCCCATGTGTATCAGGCTGCTGGTCTTCCTCACTGACAAAACTCACTCAGGCTACGTCCACACTAATGCTTTTTCGTTTGAAAAAGCATCTTTTTCTCCCCGTTTTGGCCTCCCATCCACACTGACACGGCGGGGACAATGGCGTCCCCAAGGAAAAACGCAGCATTTTTAAAACCCTCTCAAAACCTTCCTCCATCATCTCCACTTTATTCCCCCCCACCACCATTCTTCTGAGCGATGCTTTCACTGACCTTTGATTCCAGTGTAGGAAATGTTTGCATCAGCCTCTGAATGATTTCATCCAGCTCCGTCTCAGATTTGGACATCTGTCAGAAAGAAAGACAGATGTTGATGTTTCAGCACTTTGTTGATAAAGTGACAAAATTGTTGAAGCTTCACACTGTGAGCAACATGTTTAAACACACAAAAACTAAAATCACTTCATTTCTTAGACATTTTATTTAAATACGACTACTGCTGATTGCTGCTACTCTGTTCCAGCTTATGACCTTCAACCACACAAGTCTCATATACTCTAAAGTCTGAAAGCACATTTATTTTTGTTACTGTCTGTTTAAGGTTTGTAGAATAATAATGAACTTAAACAAAATCACAGCTTTAACAAGGATCCTGTATCTTTAATGAAATGAACCTGAGCAATATTCTCACTCTTGTCTTTGTCTCTTCACACACAGTTACAATTATACTATACTATACTATATTATATATATATATTATATACTATATTATATTATATCACAAAAAGAGTTGAATCAGCAAAATCATAATGTTTATAACTGAAAGACAAACCTCTGGATTTTTGTTCTCCAGCTGATTCTTCAGTTTCTCTGATGTTTGTTGGAGCTGATCGATGATTTCAGTATTCTTCTCTGACTGCAGCTGAAATGTTACATGAAGAAAGAACAGAAGGAAAAAAAGTTCATGCTTCAGACACAATAATGAAACACAACCAGAGTCACATTAAAGCTGTATGATGTAAATATAAGGGAGCTGGTGCAGCATGATGCTAACAACATTAAGTGTTGTGGGATGATGTCAACAATCTTGCAGTGGCAGGATGTCAAAGTTTTGTTTGGTTAATGACACAGAAACTGCTGCTGGACAAAACTGCAGGAATATAAGTGCACAGGTCTGTGATCATTGGGAGGATGACAGCATCACATATGTCCATGTTTACCTCTGTCTGCTGAGAGATGCTTTTACTGACCTTTGATTCCAGTGTAAGAAGTGTCTGCATCAGCTTCTGAATGAATTCAGCCTTCTCTAACTTAGAGTTGATCGTCTGTCAGAAAGAAAGACAGACAGATGTTGATGTTTCTGCAGCGCTTTGTTGATAAAAGTGCCAAAATTACTGAAGCTTCACACTGTGAGCAACATGTTTCAAACAATTGTGTCCCCTTACACAGTCTGATTGGTGTTTTTTTTATTGATACAGACTAGGGCTGGGACGATGTGTCGACGTAATCGATTATGTTGACACGTAAAATACGTCGCTGTAAAAAAATATGCGTCGATGTGTCGTCACTTTCAAAACAGACATGGCGCAGCGAGTAGCAGCAACATGAGTGAGGCAGCCGCAGTCGACTTAAATCTCTCCACCCAAACACGCAGTTCTACAGTATGGGGATATTTTAACAGAAAAAGAAGTGATTCAGTCATTTGCTGGCTGTATCTACCACATCAACACCATCTGAAAGGCTTTTTTCAGTTGCTGGAAACATTGTCACCAAAAACAGGGCAAGCCTGACTGCTGAGCATGTAGAAATGCTAACATTCCTCCACACCAATGCATAACTACTTCATGTGATGAACGTGATTGAACACACACACAGAAATAGGAGAGAAGGCAGCAAAATGGATATTTTGTTAACAAAGAGCACTTTTTTTGCAGAGAGCAAAGTGAATGTTAAGTTTTATTTGTTCAAAGACGCCATTGCTGCTGTTTATATTTTATTAATTTTTTGCTATGATTTCCTTTATTCATATTTGTTTTGCACAACATTTTATTTTTTGTTAAAAACAGAAGACTGTACTACAATTTTATTGTGGATTTTGTTTTTATTAAATCTCCAATCCATAACTACTTCATGTAATTAACATGATTGATGATTGAACTCACACACACACAGAGAAACGTGAGAAACGGCAACAAAATGGATTTTGTTTTGTGAATGAAGATTACTTTTTTGCAGAAAGCAGGGTGAATGTTACATTGCTGCTATTATTTTAAATGTTGTGTTAACTTTTCCTTAATTTTATATGTGTTTTCACATTTCATTTCTTGTTAAATGCTATCTGTTATATAAGATTGTACTACTACTACAACTTCATTTTGCAATTTTCTATTAAAAGGTGTTCAAATGAAGAAATTTGTGTTTTTCATCGAGATACATAAATTAGTAAATGGGAAATTACTGTACAAGTCAAATAATGGGGAAATAATCGATTATCGAATCAAATCAAAATAGAATCGGACTGAAAAATTAATTGTTAGATTCATCGATTAGGAAAATAATCGTTTTGCCCAGCCCTAATACAGACTGTACAGAGTAAAATACAAATAAAGTAAATTATTTTAAATATAGTCACAAACACAAGAAAGCTATCCATCCATTCTCAGGGTGCACCCTGGATAAGCTGCCAGTCTGCGCAGGGCTAACGCATAGACACAGACAACCATTGGCACCCACACTGTGGGAGGAAGCCACAGACTGGCAACCTGTCCAGGGTGTACCCTGCCTCTCGTCTATGACAGCTGGGATATGCTCCAGCGCCCCCTGTGACCCTGGGAAGGATAAGCAGAAGAGATTTGATGGATGATACAATGATTACACATGAAAACTAAAGTCACAATACAATACAATACAGTTTTATTTATATAGCACATTTAAAAACCCGAAGGCACACCACAGTGCTTCACAGTAATATTGTCACGGACGAGGTTCCGGGGACTCGGGGTCCGTGAACATTGTGGACCTTTATTATTATTATTATTATTATTATTATTATTATTATTATTGGATGTATGTTTGCTGCACTGTGCTCTTGTGTTCCATGCTGGCGTGTGTACGTGTGTGTCTGCGGGTGTGGCTGGAGGATGAAGGACAGCCACCTGCAGGCCTGATGGGTGTGGCCCTGCCAGCTGCTGGTCACGCCTAGGTTCCCACACACCTGCTTCTGATCAGGCTCGTTGGGGGAGCTACTTAACAGAGCGATGGAGCTGATGATGGTCAACCATGTCAAAGGCTGAAGACAGATCCAATAAAACTAAAACGGCAGGACGACCAGAGTCAGCAAATACAAGAAGATCATTATAGACTCTTAGCAGGGCCGTTTCAGTGCTACGGTGTGGCTTAAAGCCAGACTGGTATTTGTCAGTAATATTATTTGCAACTAAGTAAGCCTGTATTTGGAGAAAGCTGTTTTTCTCCAAAATTTTTGATAAAAAACGGAAGATTCGAGATTGGCCTATAATTTGCAGGGTCTTTCTGATCGAAATTACTTTTTTTTTTCAGAATAGGGTGCACTACCGCATGTTTAAAAGCAGTCGGGACACAGCCCACTAACAATGATAAATTCATTAAAAATAAGATGTAAGGCCCAGTTTCCTCAAAACCTTCCTTGATAAAACGGGAAGGAAGGATATCATGCACAGCATTTCAGTTTCTTAATTTTTCAATTATTCCCTTAAGAGTGGGGAGTAATAGCAGCTCAAAGTGAGAAAAGGTGGAC